CCTGGCTCCGCCACTGTCTGCTAGGGAGGATGTTAGAATAAAACTCTCATACAAGATCAACGGCAATAGCAAGGCACGGTATTTGTTAACGAGGTTCACTAAGGTCAGGTACATCCCTGGGGTACGGACTACATGCACTTCTCCCCAAAATGTTGCAACACCTACCTCCCGGGCACCGACACATGTCATCGGTTCCCCTGCGCGTGCCTATTGCTATCAAGTCGTCATGGGTTACAAGTTGTGATGCACCCACATTATATAAGAGGCCTAAGATACAACTTGTTCGACTCCAACACGACTTGTACCTATCCGCTCAATTACATCTCCAAGTCCATGTAATCCCATATGTACAAATATTCAACACAAATATAACAGAGGGGGTGGGGAAGGAGTCATCGAGACTTCCGGGTTGTGGTAGGAGGAAGACCGAGGCTGGAGCCTGCCTGCTGCTTGCTGCGAGCACCGCCCTCTCGCGTACACCGCTGGCGCATCACTCTTCCGGGAAGGAAGACGCCACCGCATGGGGAGGGGGTCTGGGGCCATCGCGTCGGAGAGCGAGATTTGCGCAACACAAATATTGGATGGCGGCGACTAGATCGTGCGAGAGGATCGAAGGAAGGAGATGGATTGCTTGGTTAGATTGATGGCTAGATGGTATCCATGTAGGTTTTATGCAAAGAGGAGAGCCAAAAAATTTAGAAGAGAGGACCTTCGTGAATGGTTTATGCAAAATGCCCCCACATGCTTGTAGTCAACCAACTACTCGTGCAAGTCAATGCTGATGCAGTGCCGATAGGACTGCCTGTGACACACTTCCAATTTCTTAGGACCCATAGGTGCATTTTCATAGTATTAGGACCAACTTGACACACACCGAATAAATTTAGGATTTGTACATTTTACTCTCTTTAAAATGTGATTAACATTTTGTAAAGTGGTGTTTACACTTTCTACAAACTACTTGAACAATTGTTTTGTGTTTTTACCAACAATTTTTTTTAACTAGCCAAGTATAACCATGTAACATAAACAAGTTACGACGGATCCGACTTCAAATATCACTCATGGAGCAAGAAATTCCCTGGACTGGGTTATTCAGAAGGGTCTTGTTACATTAGAAAAGTATAGGTAAACAAGATACATTGCAAGCATAGGTAGATGAAGCCACATGTTCAGGATGTTCTTTCAGATAACTTAAGACACGGCAGCGCGGCATTGGTGAGATGTGACAAAACTCAGTGACGAGAGATGCAGCAGCCGTTCCTTGCCTTCAGTATAAACTCAAAAAGAAAAGAAATTCAAGAAGTACAAACTCTCAAACTGTATATTCAATGGTATTTCTTCACGTGAGCCATACCGACAACATTAGCACATCAAACAATACAGGAGTACGTCCTATCTATCATGCAATACTTCAACTCCACCACCAGTAATGCTTGTACCTAGAACATAACAAGTCAGATAATTAACAACGGTTGCAAGGATAAGAGAAGGCAGCAATGAAACAGTTAGAAAGATGAGCTCAAAAATACAACTAGAGCAAAATAACTCACTTTTACAACTCCATACAAGGTTTATAACTCATTTTTTAACACCAGCACTATATAAACAGAACCACATAGGTTGTGAAATGCAAGGAATGCTCATAACATCCGTATAATTAGCTACCTCATAATGGCGAATTTAGTAGATATAAAACTAAGAAAGTACACGGCCTAGAATTTTTCTCATATAAACTCATCCCTTGTCATGTTAAGTTACAAAATTATGCTAAAAAGAACCTAATCTTACAATAAAAGTGATCTTGAGTATTACATCTTAAATAAATGAAGTCTGAGAAAAGAAATTCAATTTATTTTCATGTGTTACAGTACAAGTCACCCACAGAAGGGGCCATGAACAAATGATAAAACACAAATATTTCGAAAGGTATGAATCCGACGTAGGTTATTTTTATGGAGTTAAGATACCGAGATAAAAGAATAATAGATAAAGAATATAACTAGCTTTGAGGTTTCAAACATGCCAAGTGAGTTATCCATTTATTGTTTGATTTGGTATCCTTGAAGGCAAAAGATGGCTTAGACGATAACAATATAAGTTCTTCCATCTAGCAAAGAGGCAATTGCTAAGTTTTATTACCAGGAATTGCGTACCATGCTCAAGTTGTTAGTGAACATAATATACTTATGATATAAAAAGGATGAGCAATCACCTGGTGGATAGAAACTCTTGAAAAGATAGAAGCCAGAGATATCCTCGGTTGTATAAAGTCTCTTGGATTGCACAGACTTGAGTTGAACCATGTATACATTCTCATCCACAGACAAAAATATTGTATTAGTATCCTCATCATAGCACAATATAGTTTTCATTATCGGTAACTCAAGCTGGGGAGGGAGCCCAAGAATGGTGTGCATTTGAATGGTTTTCCACGGGACCCATGTGCCAACACCACGACAGTTTGTGTTTCTCTGCCACATTTGAAAATGCGGGTAAGGCAAGACGGCAAAGCCAATAGCGCCATCCTCAGCCAGGATGATCTGGCGCTCACGGACTTCCTCTGTACCGGGAGGCACACTCATCACAGCTAGGCTCTGCACTTCCAAATCAAACTCAATTATGGTATCACCCGTGGACAACCAGTAATGGGTCCTGCCAACAAGCAACCCAGGACAACCGGCCTCAAATACTTGACGTGGACCGACCATCGAGATGAGATTGCCCCATGTATCAGTCTCCGACAAATAAACACGGGCGATCTTTTCCTCGTCATAGGCGGACACCAAGACCACCTTAAAGGGGCCCGAATGACAGGCGCCGTGCACATGGCCAGGGTCGCTGGCAGTGCACATCACTGTACCCATGAAACAGCCCCTGTCGAACTCCGTCGGCATGGGCACGCACTGCTGCTCGCCGGTGACGGGGGCGCACACGACGAGCTCCCACCTTTCACCGTCTACCATGAGAACACGGCCGTCCCGGCATCCGAGCTTGGTGCAGTGTTCGAAGTCGATGCTCATTGGGACGCTGTCTGGAGGGTCC